ACGCACATGCTGGTAGCTGTACCAGTCCAAGACGTAGAAAGAACAACAACAAACAAACACAGCGAGGAAGCGGTTAACATCGAGATAAAAAAAAAAAAAGTTTTTATACACCTAAAGACTGGACCTATATAGGACATTTTTTAGTGAGTTTCCCACGCGACCTTGTTTTTATATGACACTTGCAATGTGGTATTATTATTATTCTGTAAAATCCTATACTTCTGGAACACAGTCAAATAGAGATAGAAAATAAAACAAATACCAGAAACATATTTATGTGATTTATATACCATTCGTTACAGTCGATAACTTCCAACAAATTTTGTTTGAATACTAAAACTTAATAAACGGCCAATAAGAGGCCACGAAATGCATAGACATTTATATACAGTAAAATCCTCCCTTAAGGTATTTTACGGGAAACATTTTGAAATACTCTACTTTAGAACATTAACAAAGTGCCAAAATGTTTCCCGTAAAATACCTTAAGGGAGGATTTTACTGTATATAAACTATAATCTTATAGAAATACTCTACTTTAGAACATTAACAAAGTGCCTATAAGATTATAGTTTTAAACAATAAAAAATGTGAAAAATCTTAAGCTTATAAGTACAGTATTTCGAATGTGAATCACAGTACAGGTGACTAATAACTGAAGCTTGCGTCCCACAGTGGGACAGCGTTAAGTCTTCGCTAAAATCAGGGGTTCGATTCTCCTCGGTAGACACAGCAGATAGCCAGCCCGATGTGGTTTTGCTAACACACACACACTGAAACTTGCCGGCGGGAAAGAACGTAAACAAAGCTACAGCAGCGCCACTAAGATACGATGAGCATTTGTAAATATTGAAATTTTCTGTTACAAGAGCTTTCTGGATACGAAGATGGCGGATAACAAAGATTTTTTTTCTCTATATATCTTGTGTATTCCGGCTTATAACATCTATTCTGCATCTTTAATGAAAACTTGTGAAAACAACTACCATTTTATTTCCTCATTTCGCAGAGCTAATGACGTCATTACAAGACGCGAACTTCGACACACGCACATGTAGTCCAACTGAGCATTTCCATACAGCTTAAGGAGTTGGAATTTTCAACATGAACAGCATCCTAAACGACACCTAGGATAAACACCCTAAAGTTTAGGGGTAGACGTCCATAATTCTGTACTACCTACCAGTCAGTCAGTAGTGTCCTCCGTCTACTAGAACATCTCTAACCAAATAGGGGGGGGGGGTGATTATCACTTTTATAATGCACCCATAGCTGAGAATGCGAAGATGGTTTCAGCAGCATAATGGCTCGAACCTTGGACCCTTTGATTCACAGTCCGGGATGGTAACCACTTGGCTATTTTGAAGAACAAAATTGCCATCAATCAGTGAGGTTTTTTTCCCCTCAATTTCCAGTTGCCTCTAGGATGGCTGATGAACCACAAAACGGCCTACTCGTCTATCTGAAAACGTGATTGGTTTCGAAGCGGAAATAAAAAAAGTGAAAGTTGAAACACTTTTCAGATTTATAGTAAGGACTGAATGAACCAAACAACATTTTTTATCGCCGAGTTACTTTAGGGATAGTGTTGGAATACAAATACACGAACCGCAACAAGTTCTGAGGTAGGTAAATAGAAATAGCAGAGGATTGATCAAAAGCATTGGTTTATATGAAGTTAATATATATATATATACAGAAAAATTAAAACAGTGGAGTTTATGGAAGAACGCACTAATATGTTTTAACACTCTGCTTGTATTTAGAATCTAAATTCGTCAATTTTGAGTAAATTATTAATAACAACCGTTAAGTGAAAATTAAAAATTATGAAGAGTATACCGACGAGATATTTTGTAATAGCAGAGCTTTTCAGTCCGGATGAGAGTTTTTTTTTCTTTATTAATCCCCCTCATAGAGGGGGGTATAAACAAACATACATCAGTTATTCAACATGTCTGATGAGGGTTACAGTAGTACTCAAAATGTTAATACGTACGATGTACTAATTAAGAAGTTATTTATATAAGCAAATTGCTTGAGAACGACTGTTTCGGTGTGAAATGGATTAAGTTGTTGAAGTGTAGTTTTTCATAAATTTTATTCATGTTACAACACATCAGGATATTTTGACACTATATTATTTATTTATTTTAACATCAGATATTATTAATTAATTATTTTCTTGCATTAACCTGTTCACTATTTTCAAGAATTAGTAAGCTAGTATTCTTAAACCCTGAGCGGGTCAAGTGACCACAGCGTAAAGAGAAGTTTAGGTTGAAATTCGTGTGTGAAAATTTTTCCAGGATGTGCCATCTTAACCCGTACACAAGTCCATTCAATCAAAATTATAAAAATATTTCATCAAAATTCGTTCCTTCGTTGTTTTTTTTCTAAGATAATACTCTGCATTTAACGAACGTTTTTGAGCACCGAAAGAAACGTATACGAAGATTCTATGCACCTCGAGATTGCTCTCGCCATCTGCTTGGCGTTAACTGTCGCGTGCAGGTGCACGCGTTCGCTAGGCATCATCGTCCACGTGTGCTTGGGTGTTTGCATGGTTTCCCGCGGTTCTCCCATCCGGAAAACCCTGCAGCGAGCTTTGTTCCCGAGAGAGTCGTTGAAAATGAAGCATGCATGCACCAGCTGAGGGCTGCATGAAACCTAAAGATATCAGAATACATTGTTGGTGCTATAGTTGTCATACTGTCAAGAATAGTTTGGATTACGTACTTTAAAAGTTATAGCGCGGAGTTAGTGAGCATGCCGCGATAAAACAAGCCCATTACAAGAACGGACAGGTGTTGAAAACAGAATCTTTGTTCTCCCTTCTTTAGGCAAGTATCGACCGTTGACTAGATCAAATGATTGTCATTTCCCAGCGTATCATCAAGCATGAGGATCACATACAGCGAATTAAGGAAAACTGAGATCATTAACTAAGATTCCTAAATAACAAACACCTAAATTCTAAACTATATCAAACTAGAGGAAAGAGATGCATCTATACGGTGTGTTAAAAAGGACTCCAAAACCTCATAAATATTATATTCTCAATATGGTTATAAGAGGCCTAACTGTATATCCTTAGTTTGCTGACTTAAGATGTCCTGATAAGCCTTAAATAGGGTTTCCAAGTCCAAGGATTTGGGATTCTTTATTTTGCAATTACCTTAATATTTGCTGCTATTTTGTTACTATAGGTTTCTAACGAGAGCGTTTGCATCAAATAATGGGAATGACTATTAAAACGCACACACGGCTGAAAGTTGGGAGCGCCTTCAGCAGCATCGCTGCGCGAACACTGGGTCTTCCCACGCGCAGCCCGAGACGCTAACCACCACGCTACGTCTTTACTACTTCTAGCCAGAAGAAGGGAACTGCTTGAACTTGTATAAACACACAACATAAAAACCTTTTTTACGGTCGATGGAAGTGAAAGGAAATTCTAGCTGTTTAAGTATAAAAATCAAATCTAAGGCGAGCCATCACAGTGCATCAAGACAGTGCATCAGTTATGTGCAAATAAAAAGCAAACTTAATTTTGTACACTTATTAATTCATGTTTGTTTCTTGCACACTATAGAGGTTATAACATAAGCTTAAAATCCAGTTGGAAGCATTATATTCATAAGCAACGAATTTTTGGAATATTAGTTAAACAGATTGAGAAAAAAAACAAATTAATTGCATTAGGGGTACCGAAGAGTACAAAATTGGAACTCTATCTGCATAATTTCCGTTTTGTACATGTGTATGGAAAGTTTTCTGTGACACCATACCAAACTAAACGAGTTATATCTGTGATTATATGATCGCTGATTTAGCCCCACAAAGTCTGTACAAACGTATTTTTAAGACTCATCTGTAAGTAAAAGTCATGGGGGGTATAAACACACTTCTTACATATGACGAAGGTCGTTTCAGGTATTGATATCTTCAACCTCAACGGCACCTTAGGCTAAACGGCAAGACAGAGAACCTTAAGGTTTAGGCCTAGCCAAACCCAATTAATAACAGATCATCACAGAGAAAGCAACCCAGTCAGCAACACACGACGCCTAATATGCGGCTACTTTTAACCGAGAAGCAGGATTTGGCTGTCGCAGTTATTAAACTTGAGAATGAAGAGAATGTTCAGTGGCATAGTTGGCTCGAACCTTGGACCTAATGATCCACAGCTTGGCACGTAATCCCCTAGTAAATACCTGTTTTGTAACAAGTTATTAACAACCATTTCTAGATTTTAATCTTCAACAAGTTAGATTGCTAACAAAACTCAGAGTTGGTTTCCAACTAACTCGCACTCGTATTTACATTACTCGAAAATTGGTTTACATGAGCGTTTTACTTAACACGTGATTAAGTAAGAGTCTGTTTTTTAAACTTTAGGTTTAACTCTATTGGAAATACTTCTTCCTACCTGTTTCCCAGGTTTCAAAATGGTAGCATTTTATACCGGATAAATCACACTTACTGTTACAGTTTATAGTGACAAGTACGTTATTGAACTGCGTTTCTCTTTTGCCCCACAGCAACACAGCGGTATGTCTGCGGACTTATACTGCTAGAAACCGGGTTTCGATACCCGTGGTAGGCAGAGCACAGATA